TGCCAAACGAGCATAATTTCACCAGTAACTTCGAGTGAGAAAATACAAAACTAGATAAGCCAAACCTCATATGTGTTCGAGAATGATACAGACCGACCAGATATGTCACGTACTCGTCCACCAGTTCAGAAATATTCTCAAAATTTTCTTTTTGATTAAAACATCATGCTCGTGTATGGTCATACTAGCTAGAAAATGTTAAACTGAAACAAAAGACCTGAAAACAATATTTCAAACATCTTGTGCGGTATTTGACGTTGACACAATACACTTGTACCAGGTTGAGAGTTGACCTCGCCGTCAGCTGTTCAGAGTGCCACAATTTATGCGTGAACTGTTTACGCGATTCCCACTTGTTTCCTTCAAAATATGTTTCCTTGACTGTCAGTGCCTCACGCTGGAGACCGGATGAGATTTCCCCATCTGATTTGTACTTTCCCCTGGCGTGCCGTAGCAATAGAACTATGTTGAGGACTTTCTTGAGGGCTTTCTTATTTAATCGCTCAAAGTCTCCAGGTTCTTATTTAACCCATTTAGTAGTTTACGATCAATAGAACGTTTCCGAATAAAAAGCGATTATCACAGTCACTGAACCCATGTGTTTTGTGTATCAACTAAGCAAGCTGTTGGGTTTAGACCTCAAAGGAATCCGGTGGAAGTTTACTGCTGATATTCCCTGAGAAAACAGATGGAATGGCAAAAGAGTCATGGGCTCCGCATGACAGATTTTCTTTCAGTTGCCAAATTATTATTCTAATTGGCTAATTCATGTTCATTTCTGTACACAATTCTCCTCACTTCACTTTCACATTCGCCAGGCGAGTATAAACAGCCGAGATCACTTGCTGAGAATCAACACCAAACAGCCTTTAATAGTCCATTAGAGAAGTTCCTTTTCCATGGACCTCAGAAAGAGTTCCAATATGAAATAATGCCCGCATTTATGAGCGTTTATCAGTCTATCTTTAAGTTTCAAGGTTCAAAACGTGTCGCAAGAAGAACGGTGTGGTTGCAATCAGTAATAATTCACGTGGATTAGCTTCCCTGTAAAATCTGCATTCATTCTGGAGGAACTTGTCATTGATTCTTGATCTCTCTCGGATCGTCGTCTCAGGAACAAAATACTGGACCGTCCACAAAGGATGACCACTAAAATGGTTAGAGGATTGAATCGCTATTCGCAGGCCTTAAATTCCAACATAACTGAAGCTGTGTGCAGTTGTAAAAGAAACCCCTATCATGTGACATCTTTACAAGTGGAATTGTGTGCAACACTTTCTTTTAACCGCAACACGAACCTATGGGAAGAAAAAAGCATGAGTTTGTAAGTTATTCCCATGATAAAAACTTTGAAATTTTGAATAAATATGAGGTGTAACGAGCATCAACGAACAATTTTATATGAGGTTCACTGGGCTTTCATATCAATGGGTAAGTCGCCAAGATATGAAAATATAGTTTCGTTGATAAACCATCCATTGTGCTTCGTTTGATTGACCCCCACTGTGGCTTGGTTCACACCTTATCCGTCCTCATTCAGAACTGATCATGAGTTTTCTAATCATTTTAAAACTCAGCAATATTGCTTCCTTCGGACTGTGTTGATCTGTTGGGCAGGTATACTGTAGTGAGTGAAGTAAGCACAGATCAGAAACCGCGGACATCACGAAAACACTGAATCACACTAGCGATCGCATGCTGGTATACCGAGACTCAAGTGAAAGGCTGCAGAAGTAGTAGTTCGTTCATTGGAAGAAATCAAGGGAATTAAATAACATATACACAAATAGTTTATTGATTATCCAGGTATCTACCAATCACGTTCACGTATTTTTGACATCATACAACTTCTGTCTGGACCGCACTTCTCATTGGTCGGTACGATCGGCCTGTGGTTCGTTGTTCAAAAGCTATAATGAGTAGACGCTTTGCTGGCGTCAACTGGGAAGGTTTACTCATCACAGTTATCCGGAAACTGTAAGCTAAATGATGATGCTAACAGTCCGACCATTTTTGTTTTCCCGCTCTTGTTTCGACTGAAAAAATTGGAGTAAAGGGAATGTGATATTGATTTTATTCTACACGCCAGTTCTCAATCTGATCTTCTGTCACTCGCATGTCGAATGAAGCCCGTTCAAACCGGGTGCCCAAGAACGGTACCAGTCTGCTACAATACTTCGAAGTTTGAGATAAATTGGAAAAATCGCTCAATTCCGGCATAAAACGTTCCAACACGAATACATTTGCTGCGTTGCATTATTATTATTATTATCATAATTAATGATAATTAATGAATTAATGATTAACACAATTCAAATTATATCAGTGAATTGTCATGTCATTATCTGAATCATCCAAGAAATAATTATTTGTGAAAATCCTGCGACTGGTAGTAAGGACTGGATAGATCCTTTCTGCCTCTGTCACTCACGGACTTTGCGATGCGGACTACGCTCGGGTCAAAAGTCATTGATTGCGTTGATCAAAACAGAATCCATCCAATACAACAGACCACTTTGCATGAGATTTAAAGTTTGCAAACAAAATATTCGTGCTCGGGTGTCTATGCCTGATACGCAACAACACGTGATATCGTTCGAGTGAGCGAGCGAGAAACACAGTTGCAGTCCGAGATGCACAGTCACAGGCATCTAACTCGTACGTATGTGTGCGAGTGTGTTTATTTACCCACGTTCGGGACAAAGGTGGAAAGGCTATACGAAGTCAGAGGTTGTGTGTGTGTGTGTGTGTGTGTGTGTGTGGATGCGTGCGTGGATGCTAATATAAACAAATGCAGGTAATCAATGTCCAGGTTCTCATATAAATCCAACTACAAATCGGAGTTCCCGAGAATCCGGTTTCCCTTGACATGGCTCAAACAGCGCTTGCTCTCCTCGTTCTGACCTTGGCCGCGCTCGTCGCCCGGGCTTCAACTACCTCGGGTACAATGCCGGAACAAGTGCATCTCTCAATTGGAGGTAAGTGAACAAACTCTTATAGGAGGCGGGAGAGTATTCTACTCCTCACACTACTGTTATTATTTTCAGATAAATTCCTGTTTGTCATTGATAACCGGTGTATTGTTTTCATTCTGTATTCTATTCATCGTTCATTTACCTTTCTGCGTATCATTGGGTTAAATTTTTGTCAGGCGAATTAACCAAAATGTGTCCATTGAATGTGAGCTCTCAGGAACCCCTGTGGACACCTAACCGATAACAATCTGTCTTCACTTAATGAAATCTTTAGTTTCCTATCCTGGACAGAGAACACTGGCAACTGTGATCATTTTACCAGTATTTCGTAATTTATTTTGCCCAATAAACAAGTTGCTGAATGCTGTGAACTGCAGCAACCAGGTGCAATCACTTTCCGAGAACTGCAAAACGAATTAGTGTGTCACAGATCCATATTTGGATTCATTAGAAACTAACGTCAGTTTGATCGACTCTTGTCCCAAAGAATCCTTGCAAAGTTCAACGGAGTCACTCGATATATATATATATATATATATATATATATATGGATTTTAGTTTTTCTAGGCACATTTATTCAAGCAAAAATCACTTGCAGTGTATCTTCGAACATAATCAAAGCTAAAGCGAAATTCCACTTATTTCAGTCCTTTACGTTTAACTACGGGTGTGGTAAAATATGTCCATTTCAAGCCATTTTTCGCCAACATAATTGAGCGCAAATGTATAATCTATAGTACACGGTTTTTCGCATATCACGTGACTGAGTAGAACGTATGTCAAACTTTTGATCTGGTGCTGGCCATTTTGTCGCAGATTTCTTGCATGAAACTGTCAGTTATGCAACTACGGATAGCAATTTGAAGTCAAACCGAGTACGTCCGTGTGGCTTTCACATAGTGTCATTTACGACGGCCAGTTTACCATATTTCCAAATGACATTTCGTTAAATTATTGTGGGGAATCATCAACAAAACAGATTCAACATATTCATCTGGATCGATGACTCACATCGAACGTGATAGCTGATTGATTCTATCTATCCACACTGGTCCGGATCCTCTTGTCCAACTTCGTGTTACAGCACTAATGCGTTCCGCGTGTCGGACGCCATTGACCCACCAGTTCACTGCAAAATCGAGTGATGAATGATCTCGGAAAAATCTGCCACCACGGGTCACATATTTGTTTGNTGTTTGTGCATCCCAGCGGATCCGGTGCACATATATTGTTTTTGATACCGTACTAGATAATTGAAACTCGTATGATTCTATGGACAACACTATCTTACTGAATCATTTCACTTGACCAATCATTGGACGCCCAAGTATGAGTGGTTGCGTGCGCACGCACACACGTGATTTCTGCGAGCAAAACATGCGCACATGCGTATTCGGAAGAGATTTACCTATGAGTTTTAGAGAACCCTCTAGCTTTTTTCTATTTTTCATCAATTTTGCAAACCAGCCCATAAATTTGTTCTCTAAGCGATAGCTG